AGTTACCCTACTGTGAATCCTGCTGTGAATATAGAGTGCATGGGCATGCGAGTAAAACTGAAGTACCACTTTAAGTGGATAAATATCAGCAAAAAGTCTTAAAAGGTCATTAACGTGATAAGATCACCATGAAAGTATTTCCTGGTTCTGGAGGGAAAAGTTCTATATAATGCAAAAATTCGGTCCACCACAAAATCCGAGCCCTAGCCTCTCGCCTATGAAGCGTCACGCTTATCACTACACCAAGCCGCCGTTGAGGAGTGAGCTGCTTCCATGTAATTTAAGTTTTCTCATGTTATGTCACCTAAAACCACCCACATAACTCCGTTCAGAGAGTCGCTTGGCAGATTTGGAAAGCGGATTCGAATTCAGCGCCCAAAAACACGTCTAGCAGTATAGGTCTTATTTCAAATGGCCACTTCGAGTTGGGATCCTTCCCTGGTTAGTATGAATAACAGACTATAGTAAGCAAAAATTCACTCACTTATAAACACAAGTGAATAAAAAAACCCTAGTAACAGCAAAAGTAGCTCACCTTTTTTAGCCTCTAGGAGTAGGAAATCAAGTAAGGGATCGCGGCAGCAAAAAGAAAAACGGAGGGAAGAAGAATGGGAGGAAAACATCGCCTCATCACTCGGCGATCAGCTGATTGTGTGTGGGTCCTAGAACGAATATTCGCAATCTCTATTGCCTCGACACTCGTCTAACGTGACATCGATCGAGACGTGGGAAAGCGAATCAAGACAGCCACAGGGCTTCCACTATGCCCTGGAAGAACTCAGTAACCATTTTTGTCGTGAACCGTGCCTTTAAGGCAATATGTAAAATCAAGCCAAAGAGTGAGTTTCACTAGGAGCGATTTATGAGATATTCCATCTAGGCTTTTTATCTGGCCACTGAGTGTAGGAGTGCGTACGTTTCAGTTGCACTGGCATTCCGTATTTCTGCTCTGTACTATTAGGATGTTCGGAATTTTTAAGAAAATTTTCCCTCTCAACTTTGAAAACATGTTGCTCGCGAACGCGCTGAAGATGGACTACAGATTCGCGGGGAAAGGGGTATTGTTTATAAAGCAATACTATAATTGATCGCTCGTCAACCGAACGATGTGCCATCAATACGACTACCGTAGCTTTCTGCTTCTCCATTACGAAATTAATCGCTTCGACACTCAGGCTTGGAATGACATATGGTGATTGATTGGCAGCGGTGAACATCTCTTATTACTAACCATAAATGGAGCAGCGCTTCCTCTAAAATAGATTTGCATCGACGAATTTTGTCGAAGCGAACGTCCGCTGTCCTCAAACACCGACATTAATCTGGCCTCCCGTCAGAGCAATCCTGTTCAAGGTGGCAGGATTTAGAAGAGACGATCCCTTCTTCCCAATTCATCATCCATTACGTTCTATGCAGAAGTCACTTTAAGAGCAGGACTTTTTGCAAACAACACACATCCTTGAATGAGCAGGAGCGAAGAGGGCGAGTCAGTGTGTTTCAGAAGCTCCTCGTCCCTTAGCGAATAGGGAACTTCAACGTGGACAGACTCTATTAGCCCTCTGGATGACAAGTAGGTGCCATGGGAAAAACCCGGGAAATCGCAATGCCTACCAATGGACGTGAGGTCACGGCCCGCTATGAAGCGAGCCGCTCACGCCAAGAAAGACGTGAGCTCATTCTTCCCCTGCTCAACCGGTGTTTTACTAGAAGATCCTACCAGTGTACTGCGGTAAACGCAGGAGTATTCTGTTACCGGCTGAGAGACGGTGTATTGAGCCTCCATTTCACGCCGATGACTAGGAAATTTCCGATTATGATGGATAGTGCTCGACCACCCCGCACAAGGACGTCAATGGATGAGTTGGAAAGACTTTGTATAACCTGACTACCTCACTCCTCACATATTCCACTGACCTCAACCGTATTATTGCCACCTTTTTAGAAGCCTGCCGACCTGCTCTGGAAGGAAAAAAATTACCATTCGAGAAATCAAGAAGTTGGTAGATGAACGGATTGCGTCGCGCCTCTCTTCTATCTGGAGCAATGGCATCAGTGCCCTGTCCTGATCAGGTCTGAGTTTGTTGGTGTACTTATTTTGTGTTGAGAAAACCGGCTGAATTTCCTCAAAACTTTTCGGACACCTTAATTGTTTAAGTTCGAAAGGAAAACACAAAAAAGTAATGATAATTATGCGAGCTTTTGAAGAGCCGTAGAAGGCAAAGATCACAGGACCCGCTTTACACTTCGTGCTCAAACGCACTCCTGAATGTGATATTTGGAGCGTAACAAAGTCATAGATAGTCGGTAACAGAAAAGAATGCAAATGATAAGTTGTCGTCAAGTTATTGGGTCTGCTGCGCCCATCGTTTGGAAGGAGTCTTGGCATTCTTATGGGAAATGAATGTAGTAACTAGATGTGGCTTGCTGGCGACAGTTATTAATAGTAATTAATAATGATAAGAGCTGATAACATGCTTCAAAGTGCAAGAAGGACTCTGGAAACTTGACACTTCAGAGTTTGGAATGATCGCTGATTGTATGAGAAATGGATAACACCTGATAAGGCATGATAACGGACCTAAGAATCAATTTGCTGTCCGATAAGCTTTTCCTACTGAGGTGCAGTCTAACTACTTCAGTATATAGTGGAAAATGTGGGGACGGTTGAGGAATACAATAACGACTGATAAGGAATGATGGGGACTTCAAGTGGAGCATTCTGATCGGCCGAAACCTCTTATTTGAGTGACAGCAAAATACTGAAGGGTGCGTCATGTTGTTCCCAAAAGTCATTCTCTTGCCCAGTCTAATATAGCTAGGCTAGAAGCGCGGAGTCATTCGGCTTCCACGTCAGAGTCTGGCAAGCTCGTTGGTATCCATACCAACGAGCTTGCCTATACCTATCTATACCAAATACAGTAGCACGAAAGAACATCATGTGAGTTGAGATTCGGAAGCTATGGAATCCGTTTCGCTCTTCTCATTAGCAAAACAGTACGTGAGTATGTTAAGTGCGGTGCGAGCGGTGCTTAGATAGTGGTGACAGGGACTGCTATCAATTAATGAACGGGAGTAGGTCACTGTAGAAAAAAACTCATTATCCCTTACACCCTTTGCTTTATCATTGGGAACTCGGCTATCCAGTGAATGGTTTGTTGTGGTAAGATCGCAGAAAGTCGGCGGCATGAAGAAGTAACAGATGATAAGAGAAAGCAACTGGTGTAGGCTGATAACGGAATCCCGGGCACGGACTTAGTCCTGCAAGATTTCCTTGTCAATAGCGGAGCTTCACTATTTTTGCGTGTGGCATGAGGTGTAACTGTATCATTATAAGTTTGGAAGCTAAAAGAAATAACGTGATAGCGACTGAACTCGGCTGATGAGGGATCTTGTGAAGCTAGAGCCACCCGTTACACCTTTCATATTACTGTTAGATTACTAGGATTCTGGGTTATGTGGGGATTAAAGGGACTATAAATGTTTGTGACAGAAAGCAGCATCGGTATCGGTAAAGATTGGTCAAGGTCATTAGACCAAAATGAATTTTAATCTTTCCGATTATACGGGGAGGGTCAAAATTATGATGACACAGATATCACATTCCCGAAAACAGATAGGAAGCTAATAAAACAAACCAATTTCAAAAAAGTGTTTATTGCTAATCTGTTATCAAAATACACAGTGAAACTGAGATCTGTTGCTTTCTGCTTTCATTCAACCCCGGAGGCGACGATATAAGGCGTCGACGGTGGCACGCAGCTAGGACCAACGAGCTGATCCCGGCTTTTTACAAGGGATTTTCGAGACTATTCCGGTTCTTGTTTGGGTAACGCATGCCTCTATTGCCAAGATTGAACACACCTATGGGGTTTAGGTCAGTGCTCCTAAGTGGCCACTGATGGAAGGTTATGAAGCCGGGAAACTTCTCCTACGGAATTCCGGGACAATTTCTGATCTGCGGTCAGATCTCGATCAATTTTTGAACCCCATCTTAACAATGACTGGTCCGAATCGCCAAAATTTCTTATTTTCTACGGCAGTATCTGACAGGCTACAAAATTAACTTTGACTTCTTAAGTTACAAGAGTAATCGATGTTTAAACTTCGGCCGCAATGCTCCCAAAGGTCATCACAGAAAGTTAGTGCTAAGTGCTATGTCATTTCCATTTATTTCAGCTCCAAATGAATCCTGCCGCTTTGTTTAACTATAACCTTTCTTACCGTAAATATCTCCTCGTCGATAAAAAGAATTTCCGTGTCCATTTCTTTAGAGATGGCGGGCCAACCTTTCTCTTCTCATCAGCCTGCTCTATCGTAAAACCACTTTCAGATCGTGTCAAGGCCTGATTATGCAGATAATGTTCCACGGTTTTGCACACGACAGAAAACTTCTCGAGATATAAGTTTCTCTAGCCGTTTTGTGCGCAGAGCGATCTTTACTGCTACGCAGAACTCTGCCCTATCTCCTTAGAACTCCTCCCAAATGTAACCGTAGAGGCCTCTTATTATTCACCCCTCCCAACTGCAGTTGCTCCCAACCTTTAAAAGCGTCTTATGGTTAAATATGTAAAGCTCCCACTATTTTTCAAATCTGTCAGAAATCCAGTATTACTAGAAAGGGAATAATGTAGTCTACGTTGTGAAATGGAAGAAGGCGAATGATATGTGATAAACTGAGTAAATTTGGTATAAGCGTCAGCGCGCGCTGTCATCATAACATTGGCCCACCCTATACTATTAGGCCGAGACCCATTGACGCACTATCACACTTTTGGTAATAAAATAGATCAGCACTGATCGGCCTGATACGAAGGATACCCGTTCATATCGACCGAGCCTTAAATTCCTCAATGTTAGTTGGTCTCTTCAGACTCGTGTGGAAATGCATGCATATTGATTGACTATCAGGAAGGTAGGAGTATATGCAGTGTATGCACCCGAATACGATTGTAAATGGATATCGAGAGCGGGGCGCGTTCCATACACAGAATTGATCAGAGTCAGAAGACTGAGACCTCATATATCAACCCCACCTCAATGCTTTGAATGTAAAAGACTCGAAGAGAGAATAACCCGTTACTTGACCCCGCTATCAGCCACGACAACAACCCGACCAACAGTTTTTCGGAAAGGGGAAGGTGGCCGGTCAACAAATATATGCAAGCAGATTAGTTGTATTATATAAAAGATATTTTTCTATAAATAGTATTCCGAAATCGAGAAAACAGTCACCGCATCAGAAGACACTGCAAGCTCCAAGCGCCTCGAAGACGGAAAATTTGCTGAGAACTCGGTTTCAATGCGAATATCGCAAGCATCCCTGTCTGAACATATCAGAAGCAAAGAATGTTACTAAGTAATCAGTCTAAATGACTGACAGAACACTCACGGAGGTCACTAGACGACTGGTTTTCGTGAAACAAGGAAACTACGTGGGTCAGTGCACAAGCTTCTGCATTCGTGAGTATTGACGGTTCTTGAGAAAAGAGGGAACAAACAGTTCTGAACACGTTGACCTGAAATATCTCCTTCCAGCAAGGAGCTTTTGAAGCATCGGAAAAGGGTATCTAATTGAATGAGCACACCTCCTGTTTGTCCTTGTAAGTTATTATATTGGCCGATCCTGAAGGGAATGGAAATTGCTCAAGATATCGCATTAATCTCAGTAAGAAGCCAGAAAAGTCCTCTGAAATAGTGAGATCAACACTTGCAAAGCGCTGCGTAGCACCAGAAGTGTTTGTCAGAAGGCGAATGGCAGCCGCAAAAACAGAACAGATTCTAAAATTGATTGACACATCGCAAGAATTGTTACCGATTAAGGGATAAGGGCCTGTCTGCCTGTCACGAAATTGGACACCTTAGGAAACACCTGGGTAGGTTGGATCAAGTTCATAATGGGTTGAGCGTAGTGTAGCAACAATAGAGCACATACAAACCAAGGGGAGCTCCTCCCTCAAAGGGCGGGGTATGTGCCGGCGATAGGCGATGCCATGGGCAGCCATACGCAAAACTTCCTACTTCCTAATTTGGTCTTATAGCAGCGCAGACGCCGGAAAAAATGGTCAAAAGTGAGTGACGGGTCAACAATTGAAATGATGGGGACTCTTGGGGGTGGACGGAGCGTTCTCGCAGTGCGCGGTACGTTCAACATGAGTTCATAACTAGATTCAAGGCGTGAGGGCTAGAGCCAAGGATAAAGAAAAAATGGCTGTCAAAAACGTTCTAAAGCGCGGGGAAAAGCGATTTCAGAAGAAGTGTGGTCAAATGCCCGAAATGGGCTCGGTTGTACCAAGGTGGGCGTTCTAGAGCGAGGGAAAAAAGTAGTTGAGAGAAATGAGGCTAAATCTTCAAAGTGGGTTTACACTAGAGTGGGCGGGCTAGGATCAAAAATTTACTACTCCACTCAACACCGTTTTGAGGCGCGGAAAATCGTTAGCCGCCGCTAAGAGAAGGGTGGTCAAATCATGATGGTGAACGAGAACACTTCACGAGAACCCAGAGACGTTCGTAACACTATTTATGGGTTTTCTCATTAGTCTTTATCTATAAATTCACCAGTTGGGCAATGCACGCCAACGCGTGCATTATATATCAACGACCGCTTGCCTGCGATAGAGTCATTCAAAGGAGTGTTGGATTATCAGGATGGGGTAGTTCTCTTTAGAACGCAGAACTGCTCAGAGCATCACGCTCGATATATTTCATTTGAGCAGAATTATCAGTGGTTGATCATAGCTCCGTCCACCTCGGTGCAGATCCTTTCCACTATAAAAACTCGACCACCCTTTTTCCAACTGCTCCTAACCATATTTTCCGCATTCTAAAGCTCCGAACCATTTTCTCCGCATTCTAAAAAATTTTTGAAGAGATGAATTTTTGGTCCCAGTCCCGCTTTCCTGTGCCAGCTTCGCCCATTTCGACTTAACCCCATATGTTCCAACACCTCTAACCACCTTTTCGCCGTGTTGTGGAATGTTTCTAAATAGAGTCATGAAATTTTAATCTAAGCTCCGCCCTCTTTGCTGCCAACCCNTTTATTTTTTTCTTGATCTCTACGCCTTCGTTGAGTCGAGGTATGAATCTCTGTGGAAACTGCGATTACGCTCGCCCTCCGCCGGCAAGTTTCCTCTACTTTATTTGTTGACCCATCCCTCACCTTTGCACATTTTTTACCGGCGTCTGGATTGTTATGAGACCGAATGAGAAAAGGTTGCCCATGACCCCACCCTGTTCCGGCACATGCCCCACCCCTTGGGGGCGGAGCTCCGCTAGGCTCACATGTGCTCTGTTGCACTTACCCTATTACCCTATGCTCAACCCATTCCGAACTTCCCTAGTTCTCCAGGTGTTTCTTCAGGTTATGTAGAATTTTCGTACAAACAAACAAACAAACAACAAACGAATCAACAGACAGACAGACAGGCAGACAGACAGTCAGTCAGAGCGTATTGTATATGGTACGGATCATCATTTCTAAATGTAGAGAGTTGGTTTTTGTCTATCTGTCCACTTGTCGTCCCGAAATTTGGCGCTACCTGAAGCGCTTGTAGAAGTCGGGTGCAGTTGCTTTCCATTGAATAGGGTCTAGAGCAAGATCACCGATACACTTATTAGATCAAGGTCAGTATCCCGCTCGCAAGCGGCGCACATGAACCGGAATGGGCGGTGCAATGTGATAAACTTCATGCTATCGTTTCAGAAAAGCCCACCTTGGGAGATGGGCAAAGGTTAGGAGTAGGTCAAGAAATCAAGGGGAAAGAGACTCACCCGCGGTGAGCGGAGCATCTTCGAACAGACTTCCTGAACACTAAGGAAGAAGCCATGTAAATTCTAAAAAATCTCGCCACCACAAAATCCGGAGTGTGGATTCACGATTATAGAGCGTCACATCAACCACTATCCATTGTAGCCGCTAGAAGGACAGCGGCCACGTTGTTATGCTTTTTTCACACTAAAGGCACAGTTTACGATAAAAATGGTTTCTGAGTTCTCCTTCTAGGAATACCCATTTGCCTCCAGGGGTAACAGGAAGGGCGCTGTCGAGACCAAAAACTCAACAGGTGGGCATGGTGGAAGCCCCGCTACCGAATCCCCGGATACCTCGCCTCTCGAGCGATGTCACGTCAGACGAGGTTGAGGCAATACAGATTGCAATATTTTAACCCCGACACAATCAGCTGATCGCCGAGTAATGATGCGATGATCTTCTCCTACTCTTTCGCTGCTGCGATCCCTAATTTAATTTTCTACCCCAAGAGGCTGGAAAAATGTTTTTGTTAACCTGCTTATAAGTGAATGAGTTTTAAGTTCATTTTTGCTTCGTCAGCTATCCGCACCGTGACCCACATGTACGCAATGATCACATTGTAGAGCTCGTCCAAACACCCCTTCATTTTTCTGGTCTTCTTCTCGTCCAGCCCCTTTTCAACGATTCTTTCTGGACTTTTGACGCTTTGGAAGCGCCGACTCACACACTTTCCCAACTTTCATCGCACTCTTTTCCACCTTATCTTCCATTTTTCGTCATAATCTGGATTACCAAGAGTTATCGTGAATTGTGATTTAAAGCGCCAAAATAAACATCATTGTTCCATTCAGAAGGGATACCGGCAAACTTGGTAACTATCAGGATGAGCAAATAATTACGCAATACCCACGGCATCTCCCTTTTGACAATATTCGGAAACGGCAACCTCTCTCGATTGAGAGAATGAGAGACGGAGATGGGGAGAGCTAGCTATTTTTAGTCTGAGAGATTACCTCGATTAGTTCGTGATTTTACGACGCCATTATTTCCAATTCGTTGACAGTTCCACTTTACATCTTGACCATCAACTGTCCACGTAATAAATGGGAGAGACGTGAGTGAAAGAAGTCGACTCAGCCTGAACACACCACAAGTAATGTCAAACCTTGCGCGAGTCGGAAGGCATAAGTCGTAACACAATGCCGTTCACTACTAGTTAAAAATTGATTCGAAAAAATACAGTGGAGAATAAAACCTTGAAAGTAGGCAGCTTTTCCAAATAGACCATACATCTACTTCTGTGACATAGCGATTGACCACCTGCAGTATAAAATTCACTATTAGTGGACGATAGCTAATGTTTGATCGTGGATGACATTAGTGCCGGATGAATGAATGGTCGAATAAGATTTCACAGAATCGATGGAGGTTTCAACCTAATGCTCAGACTACTATACATCTCGGGAATATTTTGGTGACATAAGTTCAGCACTCAATCCTTAGGATTATGGACTCCAAGGGCTACTACCCAATTGAAACCGTACACATAACGCAGCGAGCGATGGGCTAGGAGGCATTGCCGAAGCGCGAAAGTCGATAACAAATTATCAGGCAAGTCTCGAAACCTCAGCGCCGTCTGAGTGAGTATTCATATGATTATTAAAGTTTTTGTTTGCAATGTTTGGAAAATTCGGGCTGCTTTGCTTTCATCTACGACTTGAGAACTTTCACTAGAGAAATAGTTGAATTCGTTTACTATACTCAGGTTAAGATTCTTGAGTAGAATATTGGAAATTTTCTAGTTAAACTGCCAATCTGTCTCTTAACTTTTTACTTCCTTACTGTTGTTATTTTCTTACTCTTCTGTTCTTCATCCTTTACTCGGCCAATAACGATATAAAAAGCATAACGATCATGAAATTTACAACTAAATAAAAAAAATTGATTCTCTTCATTTCAAATTCACATTCAGATCTCAAAGAAAGAGATTGATTTGCTGAAGAAGGCCTTGGATAAGGAAACTGGGTCTGCCCCCCTATATCGTCTAATGATGCTTTTTCTGATAATCGTGTAAATTGCTGTGAGGAATATGAAAGAATTAGGTCAGCTGTTATTTCTGGTGTTGCCGAAAATGCTGATCCTAGTACAGCTGTTCGCTTTCCTCTGATGCTGATGTTATTAAGAAAATTTTACTGTTTCTCTCAATTTAATGTATACCTATCTCTTTCTTTTGCATGGGTAGGCCGAACCATACTCGGCCGCGTTTACTCAAAGTGGTTCTTTCCACCCCATCTTTCCAGAGGCAACTACTTTCTCATGCATCCATGTTGAAACACTTTTCTATTAAGGGTATTTATATTAGGCCGTCGTTAACTAAGGCTGAACGTGATTGTTTATGGGCCTTAAGAGCTACTAGGCCTAATGCTGTAAATCCCAATCCTCCAATTGTTCAAAAATCGTATGCCACTCCTACTGATGATCATTCCGTCAATATTTCCTCTCCATCCGAAGATGTTCCGAGTAATGTTATTGCTTCAGATGATAATCAAACTTCGTTAAACAATTAAGGTTTCCTCAGTGCGCTGCTAATAATAAATTATGCTGCATCTTGGCCAATATTAGGTCTTTACCAAAGAATGTTCTTTCTTTGAGTTCTTTCTTTCAGCTTTGAGATGTCGCGTCAAGAATTTGAAGTGGTTGCATTGATTGAGACTAGGTTGAAAAGGAAGCACAACTTGCAGTCTTTGCTAGGCGATATTTTTTCGTTTTATGAGGAGATTAGGTGCGACAGGCCAAGAAAAAAGGGAGGCGGTGTTATTTTTCTACTGAACAGATCCTTATTTCCCGTTACTGTTTACGCCGAATCCGTCTCTGATGGGTATGAGATAGTTTCATGCGATGTTTCGTCGCATGGTTGCAGTTATCGATTAATTTTGGTTTATAGAACGCCCAAATGCTCCGCAGAACATAATTTGCAGTTGGATAAATGTATCAGTGATCTTTCATCCAGTAAAAATTCATGCCTTCTAATGGGTGATTTCAACTACCCGGACATAAATTAGCATGATGCTCTATCTCCATCTTCATCGTTGGCTAATGATTTCTTGCAAATGCTCAGTAATCATGGCTTCTCCCAATATGTTAACATGTCTACTAGAGGAAATCATGCACTCAATTTACTGTTTTGTAATGAGGAAGGGATTACAAATAAAATTCTCGTTGCCTCACCTCTATGCTCCTGCGATCATGCCTCTATTCGCTTTGTTTTGGAGGGTCAAAGAAACAGGCGTAAATTTGTTTACTCTCGAGACTTTAAAAACGTGAATGTTGCTGGGATGACTGCGTATTTGGATAAAGTTGATTGGTTAGGTGTTTTTCCTTGTTGTCTCTCGGTTGATGAAATGTATGAAGCTTTTCTATTCATAATAAAACATTGCCTGAATCTCTTCGTTCCTTTAAAGAGGGTCCCGGTCTCCCCTGAACACATTCCTGATTACTTAAGACGTTGGTTTCGCCTTGAGGGAAAAGCCTACCCCATTCTCTGTGATCAATTATTTGCTAGCGATACAGACTCTATAATCGTTCAACATTCACTTACTTTAATTGGGCAATATGTCTGGTCAGACATATTGTATTTCACCGTTTTGCAGTCATTTTTCCGATGCCCATGCAGTTCACTGTATTCTCGATCGGTTTCTTCAAGGACTTTGGAAGTGCGTAAATTAGAAGCCGCTCTCTTCTGGAATAAAGCAAAAAAATCCACGTGTGAATGATATTAATAATTAACGCTTCCGGTCATTTCACTCACATATTCAGTAGGTCTCTTTTTTCGTGCAAAACTTAGCCATTCGTAAGCACTCTCCTTCTCGTTATGAATAATGGAGCTCGTAGGAACTGAGTCACATGCAGAGGATGGCGACTTTTTCTTATCTAGGAAAACTAAAAAAAGAGTAATAACAGACACAATAGCATATGATGAAGACGATGCCCGATGTGGTGGCTCAAAAGGAATAAACAAGAAGGTCAACTTACCCTTCTTGAGAGGATCTCTACTAAGCTGCATATTAGAAACGGAAGGTAAGTTGCACTTCTCTACCGGTGACGGTCGCACTTCAAAGTTCACTTCGACACATCTACTGTCAATAGTTTCCGCCAAAGAATCAGCTGCGTCGGAGTCCTGTAATAGTTTTCCAGATGATTTTGAGAATCGGCCTAAAAACAGGAACAGTATACAGTCTCAATTTGTGGTAATAGGGCCAACAAATTTCCGTGGGAACTGGACAATCTTCTGTTGAAACCCTTCTGAGCCACATGTGTTTGAATCATCAGGCAGTTCGACGAACTCGGCGACTTGAAAGACTGAACTGACGGTAACCTAAAATGAGTTTCCTTATGAATAAAATAATTTTTCGAAAAAAAAAACTCTGCTTCGGAGCTATGGGTAGAACTACCTTGCCGCCGAAGTCTGATCCCTATGAGGATTTTCGCAGCAGGAATTGGTTCTCACGAGACGCGGAGTTTTTGACATTCCAAGCATTCTACAGTCATCAACAAAACTAAATAGCGGAATATTATATAAAAACATGACGTTTTTAATACAAATAGCATCTGTTAACTTTGACCGCGGTCTGCGCGACTCGGATAATCAAACGAAATTGTTGTTGCAGAAAGTGCCATCCAATTCACCTTGATGTATATCCACGATCAGTGTGTCTACTTGGAACATGACTGTCCACTAAAATGTTCCGCGTTTCTTTCAGAAAATTTCTCCTCAACAAAATTTCTCGAACTCTCTTGTGTTGACATCACTCAAAACACTACCGAGATGGAACCGCGACCGAGAGGTTTTTTTTTCCTTTTTTTCCAATGTATGTATGTATGTATGTATGTATGTATGTATGTATGTATGTATGTATGTATGTATGTTCATATATCCGTCGCAAAATTCAATATATTACCTGACAAACAGGGCGGAGGTAGTGTAAGGCAAATGGCGCAGTACCTCGCACGCACGGTTTCGAATCCCGTATCGATATCCGCCTAGGCCGACCAAGCCTTCCATCCCTCCGGGATCGGTTAATCGGTACCATACTCGTCTTGGAGAATAAAAGCACTGACTTGTACAAGTGTCCCAAAACTATGTGCGCCGAATTCAGAAATTTCTAAGGTAGAAATAATCCATCAAATTCACATTACCTGCTTTAATTACTTGCATAAGAATATGCATGGCTTGCAATATGCATGGCCACTGCTGTGGAACTCACATTATCTTTTAGATGGAGGAGGCTCGTTCAACGCCACTTGTAATCATTAACACGCCATTAGGATACGGAAGGGCAGTATGAAACTCTTTGGGATTTCTATTATATAATAACCATATGGGAGGCTATTAAACGATACGGAAAAGGAGAATGAATCAGAGACAAACCAGGAAAGGCAGAAAGACCAGTGTTTCTGAGATAGGACCATTATTAGGCTGAGTCATAAGTCCACGGACAAAATGATAGCGATGACTTCGAGAGATCATAACTCAGGAAAGGGGAGACGAAAATGGGCATGCATGGCACTGCTAGATAAGTATGGAGAGCTCTTCAAAACACATGCTAACGAACACACCTAACTGTTTCCTTTCCTGCAACCATGCACCATGATTTCAAGCCGTCGCAACTCCACCTCCGTAACACAATCCTATTCATTTTTTCTGGCCAAAAGCCCGCGGAGATCGATAGACCTATTAAGAGAGATTACAAGAAGGTTGCTCCTGCTAGATGCACAACTCATAAGTGGCACACGAAGTTCACGTCGGACGACTATCCCACCGAAAATGAAGACCGTCCGGGACGCTCAGTGGAGTTGGATTCGGAGGTGCTGCGGAGCCAGGTGGAAGCCTATCCGTATCAAACTACTCGTGAACTGGCAGTCACTCTTGCGGAGTCAGTCCACGATTATTCATGGATTGAAGTCAATTGGCAAGGTGCGAAAGCTCGGTCGATGGGTGCCTCATGAAGCAGTATGACATGGAATTTGAAGCAGTATGACATGGATTTTGGCGCCGACATGGCACATTCTCTCTTCACGCTCAAGCGCAGGAGATAGTCATTTGTACTCGTTAGCATGTATTTGGAAGAGCTTCTTATACTCTATCTAACGATGTCTCGCTCGTCCATTTTCGTCACCTCTTTCCCGAGTTATNATTATTCATGGATTGAAGTCAATTGGCAAGGTGCGAAAGCTCGGTCGATGGGTGCCTCATGAAGCAGTATGACATGGAATTTGAAGCAGTATGACATGGATTTTGGCGCCGACATGGCACTTTCTCTCTTCACGCTCAAGCGCAGGAGATAGTCATTTGTACTCGTTAGCATGTATTTGGAAGAGCTTCTTATACTCTATCTAACGATGTCTCGCTCGTCCATTTTCGTCACCTCTTTCCCGAGTTATGATCTCTAGAAGTCATTACTATCTCTTTATCCGAGGACTTATGACTCAACCTAATAAAATTGTCCGTCTGCCATCCGTCGTGATCCTGGGTGACCCATCAAAAGGAAGTCAACGGGCACGACTTATCGGAGTTATCGCAATGGAAGAATGTCATGAAGGGGCTTCACTGTCATCCCTATCGTATGCGGAAACCCACCTCATTTCCGATCTCAACAGACACCGCAGGGCCAAAAAATGCAAAAAGTCGCAGACCCACTTGAGTGATGACACGCAACTCTTCACCGTTTTGTCTAGCCAAAAAATTGTAAAACCTTACCTCAACAACCAAAACGTTCGCGTTCCAGAAAAAACATCTAGCGTGCAATCTCTTACAAAAAGGTTACATAATAACAGTGAAATGATGTTTTTTGAAGAAGTCACTGGCAAGGGTGAGACGCTCGTGGTTTCTTCGGTGCCGGCGAGAAAATTGACCAAGACCAGTGCTCATAGAGAGTACTGATGGACATAATAAAACCCTGATCCGACTCTGACTTTCCTGAAACATCTCGTGGTCCTTCCAGCTGGACGCTACTCCAGCCACAGAGCCGAGCTTGCCCGGGATTGGTGCCAAGGAGGACCTGTCGAATTTGCAGTCCCACTCTGGAGTTCTTTAAAGCAAGACTGAAAAGCAAGACTGAAGAAGGGCTGGGAAGAAATGAAGTAGGATACCTGCGTGCAACATGCGAGATGATTGAGAGCAAACTTAGGGCCCGTATCCACGCTCGTGGGGATATTTTTAAATGTGGCTGTAGCGTGTTGTAGCAAATGGTGTTAGCTAAAGTGCATAGAAATTGCAGAGCCTTTCTCAGTTAAGAAGCTCAAAACATATAGCTTGAATTGGCGCAAATAATTTTGGGACAACCTGTACATCGGTTGGCCGCCGCAATTCACTGTATCGGCCACTTACGCATTCAATAAGCCGGCATGATCATGAAAGGAAGTCTAATGCGGGGGCGCATCCTGCAGACGTGATTGATGAACGCCCAGAAACTTTAATCTTTTCATTTTTATCCTAAAGTACCTTAAGAGGTCGGCAGAAGATCGTAAGGAGTAGAGCCAGAACAAGATCAACAGATCACCATGAGCT